TACGACAATAGTTACGGCAAATTACGATAGTTATGGCAAATGACGATAGTTACGGCAAGTAACACTGTTACGGCATCTGGCAGTACCGTATTGCCATATTCTTTTAACTCTAATAGTTATAACCCTATAGTACCGATATGTCTACACCCTTAATGTGAATGTGAACGTAACACATGAGTATGAATGCGTAAATGTGAATATAAAACATAATGTGTAAACCATGAATATTATTTCTACGACTACTATGAAGGGAGGTACATAACTGATTCCTCCTCTAGAATCGGTAGACCTTCATAGACTTTCAAGGTTTTCACAAATACGTTAACGTTGATGTTGACATTAGCATTGATGTGAATATGGACGTAAACATGAACATGTAAAATATTCTTCACTTACTTGGTGCTGTTTGTGAGTCCATTTGTATCATTTATTTAAGACGTTTGAAAAAGAGAATTTTTTTATTAAAAAAATGAAAAAGATTTCTACTTTATTTATAAGAGTTAAGGGGAAGCTTATTATGACAAAATATAACAAATGATGTAAAAAAATTCATCACTCAGAGTAATATGTAAGCAGGGACCCATAAAATTTTCTGAAAATAATTTTACTTAATCAAAATAAAAATTTTTTTAATCGTTATCGTTATTTTATATATATATATATTTTTTGAATAATTTATGAATATGAAATCTCAGTTGTAATAGCTACATCTAGTACTACGTATTTAAAACTAAAAAAATAAATATTAAATAACATTGAGTCTTACTTTCATTATCAGTAATTTAACAATATTTATTTAATTTTTTTTTTGTATCTAATCTAATATATTTTTTTTTGATCTAAGTTCTCAAAAAAAAAAAAATTTTAAAAATAAAAAACACGATGCAAAGTTGAAAAAAAGAAAAAAAAACAAATTTACAGGTTTACATTCAATATATAATACATTGTTATTTTCCAACCATCTTATTTTCACGTAATAATACCACCATACCTTTCCCAAATTAAATAATAAAATGATCGAATGATTAAAGAAAAGAAAAAAAAGTTTTTTGGATTTTAAAAACTATCGTTAGCGGCTAATCTACTATATCTGCCACCACCATAATTACTAACGGGACCTTATTTCATAAAGGTTATTAAATAATTTATTAAACCTCCATCATTAAACAACTTTTTCCACTCCTCCGTTATCATCATCAATCCAGTGAGGTTTACTCCACCATCTTAATAATAGACTAGAACAGACAACGCTTACGCTTGAACAAGCCATTGCAGCCCTGGCCATCATTGGATGTAAATGAAATTCTCATGAAATAAATAATCCCATGCCTAATAGAATTCCTAATATGTTATATAAACTTGCCCATATAAAATTTAATTTAATATGTTTAAATATTGATCTTGATAAATCAATAGCTGCTACCATATCTGTTATATCTCCTCTCATTAATACAATATCTGCTACTTCAATTACAATATCTGTATCTGAACAAAGTGCGATATCTAAATCTGCTGCCACTAACGCTGGTGAATCATTTATACCATCTCCAACTATCACAACTACATTCCCTTTACCTTCTAATTGAAGTGATTAAACTATTTGTATTTTACCCTTTGGTGATACCCTCACATGAATCTCTGTAATATTGCATTGTATTGCGATCGCTTAGGCTGTGAGTAATTGATCTTCTGTCACCATCGTGACAGCAATTCCCATATGTCATAAGGCCCCAACTGCTACCTTAGCTTTAGGTTTTATTGTATCAGATAAGAATATACAACTAGCAAAAGATTTATTAATAGCCACTAATACAGCAGTTCTTCTAAGTCGTACTTGCAATTCCTTTATAGTCACCGCTTCATTTGGAATAAATATTTGATATTGAATTGAAAGGAACATTGCGTTTTCAATTAACACATTATATGATTTTGATGTGATGTCAGTCGTAGGTAATAAAGAGAATATGAAGTTTTTAGAATCACATTATGCTCAATGTCTAACCCAGCAATGGCTTTAAAATCGAAACGTCAACATCATACGTTTCAAGATCTAATAATTTCTTTTCATAATTCACAATGGATCTTCCAAGAGGATATTCACTTAAAGATTCAGCAGCTCCAACAATCACAAAGAAAGTTTCTTTTGTCAATTCCAAGTTATTCATTATAATTTCATAATGTGTGACATCTAATTGACCTTTTGTAAGCGTACCAGTCTTATCGAAAATAACTTTTGTGACC